CAATGTTTTCTCAATGTTGTACAGCAACTTGCAACATTGAGCAACATAGGCAACATTTCGGAAACGTTTCATCAACATGCTGTGTTACTTGGGTACAGTGCTGAGCAAAAAAATACCGAACTGTTTATCTGAGGAACGGAGCGAGATTAGTGGTTGTGGTTAAGTGCGCGAACAGAACACGTTGGGTCCTGATCATCCGTAAAGTTTGGGTTTCACTTTTTGATTGAAACCCTTTTTCGGATAAATCGATAATAATAAAACTTTTTCGAAAGTCATGGTGATAACGATGAAGCAGCGATGGGAAATTGTTTTCCTCTGTTACCTTCCTAAATATCAAAAGGGCCTTTCTGGCGTAATAGCATTGAAGTTTGACTCGAAAGAATGGGGAAAAGCAGTGGCCGTGCATGTCTTGTGCGTCACAATACATGGCGGAACTCGCGCGAGAAGGGAATATATTCTCATAAATTTTGCGCAGGACTTTTTTCTGCATCAGAATCATGAATCAAGGAGCAGAAGATGCTCAGAGGGAGAAAAGAACCAAAAAAAAATGAAGTTTCACTCCTAGGTGTGAGTAGATCTGTGTAGGAACATCTGCAGAATTTCAGGTAGCTGCAAGTTGCGCAACTTGAATGATGAAATGCTCCTTATCATCTGTCTCCGAGAAAATAGAAAAGCAAGGACTTTCTTAGGGCTGCAGTTGTCCCAAGCCGGCCTCTGGGTCATTATATTTGTCTCTCTCTAAACCATTTGCCACCCTCTCCACTTCATTTTACATACAATCTCACAAATCTGTCCGTAATTATGCTTTCACATATTGGTAGATTCAGGATAGTCGGACTAAACAGATGCAAAATGAGTAGCAAGGCAGACCGCTTTGCACTGACACTTGCAGTCGTCGTTTTTCAGTGGCTACGGTGGGTTTTTGGAATGGGAGGAAATCCGGCTGCGCGAATGAGCATAGGTGCGCTCTGAGACTAGCTTTCTCTCGTCCTCGCTTATAGACATACCTTCTCTCCTCCTCGCATCCTGTACTCCCCACGTACCTTGGTTCGCACACTTAACCACAACCGCTAATCTCGCTCCGTTCCTCAGATAGACCCGTTCGGTTTTTTTTTGTTCAGCACTTTAGATTTTCATTTGGCTTCCGGTAAAAGAAAGCTTATTCATTCCTCTTTTCAGAAAATTTAAAATGCTTCATTTCGGCTTCATATAATAACTTTAAATAATTATTTGGATGTAAACATTTTTTTTAGGCACCCTTTCTTTCCAGCTATAGCGGAAAGAAAGGATACGGCTATATTCTTTCTTTCCCATCTTTCCGGCCATTGCATTGTTTTCCTTGGTACCTGTTAGGATATTGGAACCTTCTTCTCTTGTCATATTTTCTGCATAGAACCTACTGCATTTTTCTTGGTGACATGAGACCGAATTAACAACGCGATGGAGAGAAACCATAAAAATTCGAGTACGATTTTAATATATGCAGTCAGCGCGAAAATAAAGTGAAACAGAAATTGTATAGACTGGAATGAGAATGAATATTTGACTTGTGTACAGGGATGACAAGAACAGTCTTGGTTCGTTGCGAGCATGCACGGGGAGAGATCGCCGTGCTGAGAGTAGGGCATCTGCGACCCAAGCAGCACAACACCCCGTTTTGGGAGCGTTGCCTATTGGTTGCAAAGTTGCATTTTGACTTTTGTTGAATGACAACGTTTTTGTAGCATTAACTTGACGTTCTGATATTCCATCAGTCAACATTCACGTGAGTGCAAAACTCGTCGGATTTATTCACGAGGCGCCAGCGGTCGTTTAAGCGTTTTATTAACATCAGGATACTATCGATATTGAAGTTTCAAGAAACATGAATGAGGAACGTTTAAGCAACGTTGCTACAATGTCTTCTTCGACGGTTGCCGTGCCTTCCATCTGCAATATTCAGGCGATTATGCCACAATATCAAACATTAATACTCGTACTTCATTAGCTCACTTCAGGAAGCCAGTATATTTTGGGGAGAATTGGTATGAAATGCCCTCGTCACGCGATGAATTTTGACTGAAAAAAAAAATTTTTAAAGAATAGTTCATCTCATGAAAAAAGGATTGAGCACTGTATGTGATGATTATCCTACAACGTAAAAATGATGGAGCTGTAACACAGCACCACCTTTCTTGCCTATACGCCTGTAATGATAATGCGAAGTCATCAAGTTTGTATGATGCAAATCCAATGATAATGCGAAGGTATCATTATAAGGATGTGCAGGAGGTACGTAGGGGAGAGTGGGGCAGTACCGAACGGTGGGTAAATCTGAACAGTGAGAAATAACCTATTTAGAATGTGCTTGACAAACATCCACTTGTGCCACTGCATTGGCTTCATCAAGTGTGGAAATCTATCGTGAAAGTTTCCGTGACTTGAACAGCTTTCCGAGGAAAGCAATATCTTAATTTTTTATTTCGATCGATGTAAGGAACTGCTCGAGAGGCATGGCCTTTCTTGGCATGGCATAAGATGTGACCGGTTCGAATGAACTCGCATGGAAAAGAGGAATTACCATTCTTAAGAAGAGACGGGATTCACGATATTCGTTCTCTCGCTAGTCCGTGAGAGCGGGGTTCTTGAACGTCGGCGCTAAGGGGTAAATCCGGACAGGCTAAGGGGCGGGAAACCGAACATTCAGATTTACTCCATAATTATAAAAACCCTTATGCTGAAGTACTACTACTATAACATTACATGGGAATGAGTATGTGCAGTCAAAATTGAATGCTTTTCATTCTCTTCTCCAGTTCACGATGGTGGAGACGATCACGACTGCAGTGCAAGACGTCTTCCCGTGGACTCGGAGCCATAAGCACTGGGTGGTTATAGGAATGAGCTGCATCGGGTTCCTCCTGGGACTCAGCATGTGCTTTGACGGTGGTTTCTATATGTTTGTCCTATTTGACAATTACTCTGCCACTTGGTCTCTCATGATACTCTCCATCTTAGAAGTTCTTCTCATCGCTTACGTCTATGGTGAGTCTCGGTCTTTCTTGAATTGGGTTATCTCTGCAAGAGCTAAATTGACCTGTGAACTCTTATTAGATCATCAAAGTCAACTGTGACACTGTACAGGGTGTGCGAAAAAAATACCAACGACATTAAACCTTTAAACATTAATTAAATTAATTAAATTAATTAAACATTAAACATTAAACATTAAAGCTTGGAAGAGCGACTAGAGGAGCTATCGGGAAGGCTCATTAGTGTGGAGGAGGAGATAAGAGGGATCAGGAAGGAGGTGGGTGAGGTACAGAGGGATGATTTAGTGGCGAGGTTAGTTAGGGTGGAGGAGGCACTCCGGGGGTTCCCCAGCCTTCCGGACTTTACTGGGAGGGTGGCCCTTTCGTCCTTTGACAGCGCGTCGAGTGCCAACTCCCAAGTGGCTAGTAATTGGGCTCAGGTCGTAAAGGGGGCGAAGGTTAAGCGATCCCAGGAGGCAGTCATTAAGACCGAAAACAAGTTTCTCAGGTTGAGGGAGGTCAGCTTGGA